CAATCCCCAAGATATATGGTTATTTCGGTAAATTATTGAAGTAAATACGTAAAGTATTGTTAAAATACCGATTTCCCACTTATAGGGTCATTTTGGTAACTAAATGAGATAAATAATCAAAATGCGGTCAAAGTTTGCATTTTTAAACCAACTTAATGAAAGTCTCATAAAATTATTATGCAGAAAATTATTTCTGGAAATTCAAGGGACTAAATGCTAAGTTTTTTTTTTTGAAACTTAAATATATAATGTATATAAAGAATAACAGTGCATGATAAATCACCAAAGTTATTCCAGCCTATTGGTTAACACTCGAAGCCTGAAGACAGAGGTCGCGGGTTTGATTCTCGTCCTCGACGCCTTCATTCCAATTTTTAAAAGAGGGTAACCGGACGCGGGTCTTGGGTCTGGTCGACCCGGTCCGTGACCCAGCCCAAGACAACAGGTCGGCCCAGCCCAAAAATCAACTAAAACAGCAGCCATGGCTGCTCGTTTTCGAGCTTTTCGAGCTTCAAAATTGCTCGTTTCTTGATCATTTTTCTTTATTCTTTTTGCGCCAAACTCTTGGTAATATTGTTACCAACCCTTTGACATAAAGAACACGAATTTTCATCAAGAAATGARTTCYATTTACTCATTTAAAGTTTGTTTTTAAAACTAAAACTTAACAACTTAAAAACATAAAAATCGAACAACGAAAACACAAATATGAGACATGAGGCTACTGGGGTTTGATAGATTACTTAAAAACGAAGCTATACACATAAAAATCAAGAGATTTGGTTAAAATTCTCACCCAAAATCGGTGAAAAACCGAGATTTTCGATCCCGAACTTCAAACTCCGATTTCTCTCTCAAAACTCAACTATTTTTCGAGATATTTGAACCAAAACGATCATAAACCGGTGTTCTATATTTATATGCAAGAGTTTTGGCATATTAGTTGACGAAATCGGACCAAATCGCGATTTTTTTGCTGATGGGTCGTTTTCTTAAACAGASTTGTACTGTTGGCAAAACAGGTCCCTCATCTTTGAAAAAGATGACATTTGCTCCCCTGAACTTTCTGACATTTACCACCAACCCCCTGATTTCACTATTTTAATAAGACTTACACTTTTTACCCCTAAATCAACATTTTATTTCAACTTTGGTCATTTCTAATTTTAAGATTTCGATAATTATTCCTTCAACTAATCACCTAAATATTTTAACACTTCAAATAAATTTAATAAATAAAAATTATATATTTAAAGACTCGTATAATATATATATATATATATATATATTATATTTTATATAATTAAAATTTTGGGTTTTACAAAAAATTTTACGTGAAATATGATATGAGATACTAAACTGTTAATTCACAAACTGAAACAACATACGAGTTAAATCATTTTTATTATTTCATGTAAAAGTTTGCAATTACTAAAAAAATGCAAAAAAAATAAATAATGATTTTTGTGCCAAACTAAAAAAAAATAAAAACGTTGGTTTTTTATATAATTTTTTGATTTAAAACTTTATTTCAATTAATATATTTTTGATTTAAAATTTTATTATAGTTAATATAATTCTGATAGCCGTTTGTTGACTATGGATTAGATGTCAAATGTCCAGAATTTCTTTTCAACTTGTCATTTATCTAATAATTAGTTTCAAATTTCAAAAATATCAAGTGTCGTTGTCTTTCAAAGTCATATATTAAATTCAATTGATATTTAAGGTTGGTCTTCACGATTCTTAACATTTTTAGAATCCTCATGATCTATATATATATATATATATATATATGTGTGTGTGTGTGTGTGTGTGTGTGTGTGTGTGGAGGTTCAAACGAGAACATTTCTATTTTACGATAACGCAAGAACATCCTTATTACATCTGATAATACGGGTGAGGGGACCCTGTGATGTGCGAACGACATAATCTACGACTTAACCCGCGCCAAAGGTTATCTACGTCTATGATTTAGCATCACATGTGATGGTATTGATGGATTATAGTATTATATCAACAACACTCTTATCACATGTGATAATACATGTGAGGGGGCTTAGTGGTGTAAGAGAGACTTGTCCCGCAACCAAGATCGCATAAAAAATTGTTTGTGTCTCTAATTTAATATCACATGTGTATATATGTGATGGAATAATAGTATCACATATGATTGTCTATAGTAAAAGGTTGTTCTCGCGTTCTCGTAAAATGAAGATGTTCGCATTCACGTAAAACAAACAATCTGACTGATTCAGATTTTTGACTTCAGACGTAAAAACAAACTCTTACTCTCTTCTCAAATCTACATCATATATATGGATTATTTTTCTTATTGTTTTATACATGAAAAGTAATGAACTTTTGCATATGAATCGTTTTTTGTATATGGTTTCATATATTAAAAAATGATGAATTTTTGTACGTGGATCATTTTTCTATATGAAATTTTCATATATGGATTATTTTTGTATATGCTTTTATATATAAAAATGTAATGAATTTTTTTCATATATGGTTTCAAAATCTTTTGTGAATTTTTTCATATATGGATTATTTTTATATCAGATATGAACAGTGATGAAGAAGATGATTCGGATTTGAAAAAGCAGATGAAGAAGGCGACCTACAAAAGTGTTGAAGAGGATTCAGAAAATTCATATAATAACAATATAACAAAAAAAAAAAAACTAGAAGATTAAAATCATGGTTTATTTGATATTTAAGGAACTAATAACTTTTAAGAAAAAAAACTGACTTTTTGATATTATATGAGATATTTAAGAAAGTTAGGGGCCGTTTACCAAATACTTACCTGGTAAGCGCTTACCAGTAAAATTTAATACTATCTTTGACTTACCGGGTAAGATTTTAGTCAACCAAAACGGTATCTTATGCAACAATTTACCCGGTAAGCGCTTACCATGGTAAGAGTCGTCTCTCTCACTTACTGGGTAAGACTCTTGGTCCTTGTCTCACTCTTACCGGGTAAGATTCTTGGCCCTTACCATATTTATCTGCTAAGCTAGTGTGACTTGGTAAGCGCTTACCCGGGTAAGCGTTTGGTAAACGGCCCCTTACTAAATACTTACCCGGTAAGCGTGGATCAGGTAACTTTCCTCACCTAATGCATATGGCAAGGGCTGAAAATCTTACCTGGTAAGAACGATGACAGAGATAGAGAGTCTTACCCGATAAGCGATGGTGAGGACTCTTACCCGGGTAAGCGTTTACCGGGTAAATTGTTGCATACGATACCGTTCTAATATACTACAATCTTATCTAGTAAAATAGATTATAGTGTTAACTTTTACAAGTAAGCGCTTACCGGATAAGTATTTGGATAAACGACCCGCTTTTTTATTTTAACAAAATAACAAACCTGAAGCGAAACCAGGTTCTTTGACCATCAAAAGTCTAAACACAGACTTTGGTACACACCATCATTCCTTTTTGTTTTGCATAAACCTCGCAGCAAAAAATATACTTCCAAAAATGGTGTACAACATGTTTTAATTTTAACTGATCACTCTTCTCCTCTACTGATTACTAAACTCTAAACTGCATACACATCAGGTCATTCCAATACGTACTCGACTCCCAAATTACCGAAAAACGATTGTATGTCGTTCGGATCAAATTTACCGCCATCAATGTACTTTTGCTTACCAAATATGGGGAAATACGTTGATCGAAACAAGTCTACCACAAGCGGGAATTGTAAAGTAACAAAAACCACAATTGGCAGGCAAGCTAATCCGCCTATTGGAGCCAACATCCATTCTCTTTGATCACAAAACACAAGGAACAACGTTGCACCAAAGGCTACCATCATTGCAGTTGTAGAGAGAAACAACGTGCACAGACCAACAATCAACCGCCGTGGTAAACTGACAAGAAAATCTTGCTCGGAGAAACGTGCGGTGAGGATTGATAAGAAAACTAATAGTGCGGTAGCTGATGCAAATAGCGAGATTGCATCAGATACTGCAAAGATGGTGAAGGCAATTTTTTTCTTAAACAAGGGAGTACCCGTTTCTTGGTTGCTTCCACCTGGTACCGTAATTGCTGCTGCAAATACGATTGTGGTAATTAGTGCAGCAGTTATGTTGCATGATTCCGCTGTGGTTTTCATCCATTTTTCTCCTTCCTTCACCAAATATTTGTGTTCCCTTGTAAACAACATTTCTGGTGTCTCTTTAAAGATGTTCTCTTTCGTAAGGTACGTAGGGAAGACGAGCTTCTCTACTTCCTGTAATTTCAACAAGTTCAACTTTATGCAACTAATCAAACTAAACTAGCTCAGTATATCCCACCCGAAGGTGGGGTCTAGGGGACGAGATGTATACAATCCTCACCACTACCTTTAAAGGGTAGAGCGGTTGTTTCTGTTTTGGTACTTTGATTATATGACCTTCTGTCAAGATTTTCTTAAACCCATAACCTCTTGACATGTTTGAGAATGTCACTGTTTAGTACAAGGTGGTCACTTCAATACACAAAAATCCCTAAAAACCCGTCAAAAAGCCATGGATTTAAAAAGCACCTAGTGAGGAGGTCATTTAGCTAAATAATTCGTTTCTGTGAGGTCCCCGGCTTGTGAGAAGTGTGTGAAGTACAACTTTATGCAATTGGAGAGCAAAAAACATGACGAATTTTAACTAGTTTGGGACATACCTCACGCCATTGTAGCTCTCGTTGTAGTTGCAGTGCTGCACCTGTAGTGCGGCTAAGTATACGTGAAGGTGCCAATCTCCCGGCCAAGTGTAAAAGATTGTTCTTAGAAGCATCTATAATTGTTCTATAAAAGTCTTTACGCTCAACTATGTGATAGATAAGGTTGTACACTTTTTCTGAACGGTTTAGAACTGCTAATTGAATAATGTTATGCCCGTTTTGATTCTTACAGTCGATTGCTTTGGGTGATCGAAATAGAATCTCATCAACAACCTCGTAAGCACCTTGACATGCAGCCTCAAGAATTGGTCTACTGTAAGATGGATGATGAGTACCAGAGAAGCTCAGCTTGTCGATTTGATCACATACCGAGTTTAAAATCTCTTTAGCTTCTTTATATTCCTTTTTTTTCTTCTCTATTCGCTTAATAGGCCCCACTGCAATTTAGGCAATTAAGTTTTAGAACACTGAACAATAAAAAGTTGGTTCATATTATCTCTATAACCTCTTACCTACGGTTGCTAAAACCTTCCACAGGAGGAAATACAGCATAAAGAAGGGGGAATAAAGCACTAAAATGAGGAGACGAAACAATTGATATATTGGATAAAACGCAGCTGCAGGAACTGCACAAGAAACAGAAAGTTTATATGATACAATTCAAACTAGTTTCAAGTACATAGACTAATCTTCGAGTTGCATTTCTGGTTATTAGCAGCTCACCAAGTAAAATCATGACCATTTCAGGCAACAACCAGCTGTAATACTTGTTTTTAGAGCTTCTCAATGCCCATAAGATGTCTTTGGCCTTTGTGTACAAAAAATCCATCGAATAAAACAGCAAAGAACTTCTCCTGGCTATTTTTCGACAGAAATTGCTGAAAKCTACAAGATATACAGGCTGTATCACCATCAATGGAGGAATACGTGCTTCTAAATGTATAGTCAGACTTAGTAGTAATAAAATTTCTCCGTTTTAGAAAGGATATAAAAAGATTAGTGACATACACAGATAGATAAAGAATTTCTCAAAGTCAAGCATACTTGGAAAGGTTTTAGCAATAGCCAGCAACACGTTATCATCTATCGTAGCCAATTCAGGATATATGTTAACCAATGTTGATGCTAAATCTGCAAGATTATGAGAAACTCTGTGAATCTTTAGATTATTTATTTTCTTTATTTAGTGATATACCAACTACTCACCATATTGTTTCGTGAAAATGGCAGTAACAAGAAGATTGATACCAGTTCGGGCACCAGAACCAGGATAAAGGCCTAAAGGAAGAGGTTGCTGCTTGGCTTGAGTGGCTTCCAACAAATATACAAATGTATTAAGTTGCATATTGTAATAAGCACTGAGCAATGGTACATATGCTTTATGGTCCGATATTCCCAACAGTTCCTTCCTTTTCTTAACCAAGAGTTCTGCAGCATATTTGTTGCCAACAATTGCAGCAATGTGAAGGGCTGTGTGACCATTTGAATTTTTCTTTTCGATTCCTCTCTCATCGTTAATGAAGTTCATCAACTTTTCAACAAAATCATTCTGGCCTATTCCAACCGCTAAGTGAAGCATTGTGTTACCATCATTGCTGATTGCCCTGGTGGCTGCATCCTTATCGTTTTTCAGTATTGCTTCTGCTTCCCACCAAAGTGATTCCACAGTAGCTTTCCGCAACTTTTTGTTGCGTTTGGTGTTGCCTTTGTTTTCCGTTTCTATTTCTGATACTGTTACTATTTCTGTTTCAGCTCTAACTTCATGCAAAGGTGAAGGTAAAGCTGAAGCTGAATCTGAATCTGCATCTTATTTTGAAATTTCAATTCAGTTGTAGTTTCTACTATAGGAAATCAAATAGGTGGTTATTGTAGCTTAATGAACGGAGATGTACCTTGTAGAGAGCTTAAATCAGGATCATAGATTGATTTTAGTTTCCTCCAAACAGCTCTTGCAGATTCAAGATCAATAACAGTGGTGAGTACATCTTCGCTAAGTGAACCAAAAATCCAACCTTTAAGAAGGCTGTCATATTGTTCCTTGATCTCCTTTGTCATAGCACCCGGACTATCAAAATCGGTATCAACGATCCCACGCATTTTATGACTCTCCATGAGGCAAAGCATCTGTGCCTTCCAGATAAGGTACTTGTGGTCGCCAGAAAGCTTCACGGAAACAAAGTTGGAGACATTAACATTTGATGCGTACAGGTACTTCAAGTCTTCTATATGTGCAGAAACATCAAGCGCATTAGATAAATCCGCCATCTCCACATCCTTGTATCATCGATCATCATATTTGGTGATAATTAACATACATATAAGCATGTATGTTGGATATTATATATGAACGTATTTCTGGAAGTGAACAGAAGTCTTTGACGGTGTTAGTCTCATGTAGAGAAATCATGCAAAATATGATGTCTATAAAACAGCAATGTCAGAAGAAAATTACTTATATATATATGTATGTATGTGTGTGTAAAATTAGGTGTATATATATACATTCATATACAGATATACAGACAAAAGAGAAAGGAGGATGAGATACGTTTATAATCAAAGGAGAAATAGCCATGGCTGCAACTGCAACCAACAGTAGCATCCCCATAATGCAGAGATTTTTCAAATCTAAGCCATTATTCATCATTTTAAAAGGTAAAACGCGAAATCACTTGCAGATCGATGAATTAAAAGCATAATGGATTGCTGAATAAGCAATCAACCTTGATAAATTATTGTTTAATCTCACAAATCCCAAATTAATTGAGAACAAAAATACGAAATGCAGATGAAGATAGATTTGGAAATATCCAGACGTGGAAATTGTGTAAAATCTAGAAAGTTAAGAATAAAATAGGAGGCTCGATCTGTAAACAATCAAACAAAGAGGATGAAACCGCCATGGCTGCAAACTTACCGATTGCGATGGGAGAGAAATTCACATAACCATCCGGGTCGCCCCTCCATGATGCGGATAATCTCAAGTTTGGTCGAATCCACTCAGATTCGTCATTACAGCTCCTAAAAATCATCAAATCTTCATCATTGAGAGACAGAAAATTGAAGGTTGGAGATTAATCCAGGGATTGTGTATGTAATTATGTAATTCCCTCCTAAAATCTGTAACCTCCATGCTAGGTTCATCGACTGAAAACCAACTGATTGGGTATGATTTCTTTATAAAATCCAAAATGATATTTTTCAAGTAAAAATATTTAATTATTAACCAAATATTTATGACTATTTCATATAATATATAATAAATATTAGATTATATTTAATTACATGACTTTGAAAGTGAAGGGGTTGTTTGTCTTACACTTAATAGAACATCTTAATAGTTCTATTAAGAGGCAATATTTAAATTGTTAAGGGTTGAATCTTGTTTGGCAAAAAAAAAGTTTGCCTCTTATTAATTCTAAAACCCTTTGAATGATTTTGTATCATGGATTTTCTTTCACCATTAAAAGCCCTAATTTCATTATACACAATTACAAAAATTATATTTCATTTTGCACTACATCATGATAGCCTCTTAATCATTCTGATCACTTAATCATTCTGCACCAAATCATTCAGCAATTACTAAACGACCCTAAGTTTTATTAGCTTGAAATACAATATTACAAAAATGAGCATTAGAGAATAAAAGAACTAAAATACTAAAATAAAGAAAAATGATAAAACCAGCCTTATTAGCATTATTAGGAGAAACTTCAGAGATAAAAAGGTTGAGAATGTGAGAAATAATAATTCATATGTGAATTATGGTAAAAAGAAATATGGTTTACATATGCATCTTCACTTATGAATAACTAGTAAAAAAAAGGAATTACATAAATATAGGTTCACATATGTATCTTCAAACAAATTTTTTTTGAATAAAAAATCTTTTATCAATAATTCACATATGAATCATTCGTCATCACCTTCTCAACCTTTTTGATTTTCTCGTTCGTACCTCCCTTTTATTTTCTAATATACCCCATCTAACTCACGATGTGGCAAAACGCAGAAAAAAGCATCGAGAGTTTGCTTACAAGAAAAGCAAAAGCGAGAAATCGGGTGGGACTTGGTGAAAAAGTCTTGGAAGTTGCATGTCTTGATAAAGGATATGCCTTTGATGTTCTCCGGCTGATACGCAATTCGATTTTCACTCACCATTCAATGAAAACGTTGCTCAGATTTTGATTACAGAACAAATACATCACTGTCTCAAAATACTTCCCGGTCAGAAAATGATTTCAAACAACAATATTTATTGTTGTTGTTCTACAATAAAGTACGATTGTCAGACCCCCCCCCCCCCAAAACTTGAATTTCTAGCTCCGTCCCTGCCCATTCAGCAAGTAACCAATGCAACCAAACAATCTATTTGGTTATAAAATCCGTAGCACAGTATTCAGCTTTAGTTGAAACAGAGCGAAACAACATATTATTGGTGTTACGTGTGAATAAATAGTTTGAAACGATAGATAATACCATTTTATTCTTTCGTTATAAATAGTCCGAACAACAACAGGTACCACGTTCAATATATGTAACCTTCTTGAATGGATCCTTCGCACAGATGAAGCATCTCCTTCAGATTATCAATTTGTGTCGCTTATAGTTTCGTCAACGTTAATTAGAGCTTTCTTCACACTCCAAGCACTCAACTCGGAGATCACCACACTTTCTGTTCCGTCATTAAACGCAAATAGTCGGGCTTCGTTTCCAATGGCCAGTGTTGGGTAAACCCTGGCTGTAATGCAGGTCTTTCCTCCACCTCCAAAGCTTTCAACGATCGAATGATCTATCTGTAATCCCACACGACATAAGACCACTAGTTCAACTCAGTGAAAAAAAGAAGTAGGTTTACCCACCAAGGTTCTCAGTGAAATCTCATCTTGTTGAGGATCTACGTCTACAAATGCTCCATACGAAGTTTTCTCGATCTCATTTTTTGTAGAAGACCTGGGATATGTAGGTTTTTTTAACACATTAATTAGTTCGTTAGATTTCGAATACATTGGATATACTTGAGTTGGAGAAAACCGATTGGCAATGACATTACCAGAGTATTCATATCACCACAACAAAATCGGGTTTATAGGACACTCCCAATTTCTAAGCATCCTAATAGACCTCTTTATAAGACTTCGTTTATAGAACCAAAAAAATAAAGCGTTCTATCTAAAGGCATTGTAATAAGTTTATATGACGTTTTTTGAAGTTGTAATAAGTTTTTTAGGACACCTTTAATATAAAGCGTCTCATTAGCAACTTTATAGAACATTATTTGAAAATTTGTCCTATAAAAACAAATGTCCTATAAAAAATTGAGTTTATAAGACACTTTCTCAAAAGTATCCTATAAAGTTGCTAATGTGGAACTTTGTATTAAAAATGTCCTAAAAAACTTGTTAAGACGCCTAAAAGTGTCATATAAACTTACTACAAAACCTTTAGATAGGATGCTTTATATTTTGGTCATATAAATTAAGTCCTATAAAACGGTCTATTGAGACGCTTAGATATTGGGGGTGTCCTATAAACCCATTTTTGTTGTAATGGTACCCTTTGATCTGCCAAAAGGTCAGTGGTTCAAACCTCACCAAAGGTAGGGAGGGGGTATGAGTCTATTTTCTATATTTGTCGTATATGAATATTATATAGTTCAAAAAAAACTGACCGGCTTTGATCACTGCACATTAGTACAACGTATCCTCCGTTCTTTTGGAAAACCCTAAAGAAGATTGCAGTTTGTTCGGTTAAGTCGTGGGAAGCCAAAGCTAAGAGTCCAAATGGTCCGATTTTGCCTTTGTTTGATGCATCCTTTTCGCTGCAGATAAGTCGCGGATCGTCAATCCAACTCGGGTCCAGTTCTTCAGCCTCTTCTAAATTACTTAGTTTGAACGAAATCGTCACATCGGCCTTTCAAACAAGCAATATCGATCGATATGTTAATGCAAAAGAAGCTAATTGAAATGGGCTTGATCAAGTAAAGCTTAATCAAGACTTCAAGGATTACAAATTAAACCTGAGAAGCAGTTATGCCCAGAATTTCGTGTAATGATCCACCTTCAAGTTTCTTATTACGAAAACAAACTTCGTTCTCGTGTAACATTTTGATTTCCTCGATAGGCCATTGTACGAGCTGCTTCTGGTTTTGATCGAGCCAAAGGCTCCTCGGAAACGACTACATGTGATAAGCAAATTCATGATCTCAATCATAAAAACGTTATGACAAAATTAGGTTTATAGGACGTCACAAAAATTTAAGTATCCCAATAGACCGTTTTACAAAACTTAGGGGTTGTTTACCAAACGCTTACTCGGGTAAGTGAACACCAAGTCATTTACCTATACCGGATGAATATGGTAAAGTTCAAGAATTTTACCCGGTAAGAGCGAGACAAAGACCAAGAATCTTACCCGGTAAGTGATGGCGATGACTCTTACCACGGTAAACGCTTACCGGGTAAATTGTTGCATACGATACCGTTTTAGTGGACTAATATCTTATCCGGTAAGTAAAATGATAATGTTAAATTTACTGATAAGCGTTTACCAGGTAAGTGTTTGGTAAACGGCCCCTTAGTTTTATCTTCTATGGTAAGAGTCGTCGCTCTCACTTACCGGATAAGACTCTTGGTCCTTGTCTCGCTCTTATCAGGTAAGATTCTTGGTCTTTACCCATCTTCATCCGGTGAGGTATTGTGACTTGGTAAGAGCTTACATGGGTAAGCGTTTGATAAACGGCCTCTAAGTGAAACTTAATCTTGGATTACCTGAAGTCCGGACCATCCTTTAGCGATAACATCTGCTTCAGAATCACACTCGTTCACCCAAGCAATCAATATCCTTCGGTTTTTGATCGGGTCGAAAAACGACTTTGAACCATAGTACTTCCCGTGATCGAACCTTGGAGTAGTAAGCGTTAATTCATTCTGAGGAGCGTAGTTATCTTTCTCGTAACTGTAATTCCCGATCATGTAGTAGTCTTTCCCATCCATCAATCCCAACTTCAACACATGTTTTACGCTCGAGTTCAGGACAGATGCATCGACCCCCTCCTTGCTATCAACCGACACCGGAAAGAAATCAGGACATTCCCATATCCCAATGCCTGCAACCTTATAAAACGACGAATCGGATTTTGTCCAACTAATAAAGTCCTCAGATCGGTACAGAAATGCGATTCCGTCCTTATCTTTCCGGCTTCCCACAATTATTCTCCATTTCCCATCTTCAGAGACCCAAGCTGTGGTTGGGTCTCTAAAATCACCCGGTTGAATCCCGTCAGGAACTTCTATGACAGGATTGCCGGTGTACTTGATCCATTCTCTAAGATAGGGATCGGATAAGTCCTTTGGGAAGGCCAAGTTCTGGACTTGCCGTTTTTCAGAGTCAACTCCCGTGTACATCATAACAGGCTTGTTTCCGGGGAGGATCGTAACAGAACCGGAGTAGCAACTGTTGATGTCGAAGGGTTCGGTGGGTGCCATCGCGTGGTCTACAGGGATCCAATTTATTAAGTCATGTGATACTGAATGTCCCCAATGCATTTGATCGAAAGTAAAGATTGGACCATAAGGGTTGTATTGATAGAAGAGGTGGTATACTCCATTGAAGCACATTGGTCCTGCACGATGCATTTCGATATACCATCTTAGCCGTAATCAAGAAATATATACAATCCAACAACTACGGACTCTAACAGTTGCTGAATGGTTTGGTGCAGAATGATTAAGTTGTCAGAATGATTAAGTGGTTAGAATAATTAAGAGGCTCTCATGATAAAGTGCAAAAAGAAATATAATTGTTTGGTAATTGTTTACAACGAAATTATGGCGCTTAATGGTTAAGGGAGACCCATGATACAAAATCATTCAGAAGGTTTTAGAACCATTAAAAGATAGACTTTTTTTTGCCAAACAAGATTCACCTCTTAACCATTCAGAGACTGTCTCTTAATGAAACCATTAAGAGTTAAACAAACAACCCCTTATTGTTTTTGAAAACTAAAAAACTTGAAAATTTCTCGACATCAACAAAAAACCTTAAAAATCACTCGAACGTGGAATTATGCTAAAAACACAGGGTACAACTTTATGGACCTTTGATCTGTTTAAAAGGTACACTTGTTCGACAAAAAATTTGGATTCACCAACTATCTGTAAACTAAAGAAACAAGAACTGAAAAAGTAGGTTGCGAGAATGACTAACCATTAGGATCTGCACCCATTCGATCAATCCACAAATCATCATATGCCCACGTTCATCGTCACATATCAATGAAACCACAGACGATATATTTATATATATAGGAACAAGTATAAGAGGAAGAATTAATTACGATGAAATATACGTCAAACTTAAGAAGAAAAACTGACCGTTCATCCAGTTTTTGGGAGGCTGGAAGTGGAACGCCGTCCGATAAAGTTGCTTTGACGAGAAAGCAAGATCAGAATCTGTCATAGTACTGGTAGCACTTATTCTTTTGGTCAACAATATATCTTATCCCCGTTTATATGAATTTTGATCGATCAACTCCTCATTATTCAACTTCTATAAAAAGCAATTTTTTATAACATGAAAGCGATCCAAACATAAATTAATAAGGCATTGTTAATTTAGTTGGCACGACTAGCATTTTTTAGATACTATAAGTATACATATGAATCAGCTTGATGTATAATTTAACTGTAAATTATAACTTTAATTTAGGGGTAGATTTTGTACGGTACCAAAAAAAAATTCTTCAATACAGTGTAGCGATCACTTATAATTGGTACTTAAAATCTTATATCATATACCAATCAATTGTATTTTGTACTAACTTAATTGGTAGCAAGTTCTTCGGTTCGTACTGGTTTTGTACTAACTTTAAGTTACATATATGAAAATTGTCATTTTGTTCAAATTTAAGTGACGTTTTGAGTTTTCGTTAACATATATGATATTTAAGGGGTTTTAATTGCAAGAACAAATTTTGCAAATATTCAAAATTTCAAATTTCTAACAACTTAGGGGTTGTTTGTTTACCTTTTAGTAGTTCCATTAAGAGGCAACCTATGAATCGTTAAGAGGTGAATCTTGTTTGGCAAAAAAAGGTTTGGCTCTTAATGGTTATAAAATCTTCTGAATGATTTTGTATCTTAGATCTTTCTTAACCATTCAGCACCCTAATTCCATTTTAAACAATTGTTGAACAATCTATTTCATTTTGCACTATATCATAAGAGTTTCTTAATCATTCTGCACCAAACCATTCAGCAACTGTTAAACAACCCATTAGTTAAAGTTTAATGTTTAATATTCAATCTATAAATAAATACAAAAACCAATAAATAATTAAATTAGTAAGTATTATGGTACTATCATACTTCCAAATTTCAATATCGTGTACCACCCAAACTTGCATATTGGACATTGTAATTCCAACCGAGTGTAATGGTACTCGTACCAACTAATATGATATTGATTTAATTGGTATGATTGGTTTTGTTTGATACAAAATTACCACCGGTAACCACAAGGGTGGTGCTTGATTGGTTTGAGTTTGGCTCCAAAAGTCAAAAGTACCAAGAGGTCCTAGGTTCAAATACAAGGAGGAATAAAAATCCTTTTGTGGCCACGAATGTTCAAATGCGATGACTCCAGACCATCTGCAAAGCAGGTGGTCACCCTGGGATCAATCAACTCACATAACGAATTGTATATTCAGGTTAATAATAAAAACCAACAATGGAATTATTTAAATTAATTCTTTTATGAGTCTAAAAGTGGATCAATCGTGGCATGAGATTTTCAAAAATCTCATACGTTATATTTTTTTTTATTTGGTTGATTAATATATATTTGAAAACTAATATATGTTTCCAAAAACTCTTATCTTCAAACACTTTAAATAAAGGCAAAATAGAATTATCTTAAAATTTAAAAATTTAAAAACAAAATTAAATGTGTTTATGATATAATATAAATAATTTATTTTATTATAAAAAATATAAATAAATTGGTTTAAGCAATGACACCATCCACGTTTATAGAACATTTAGGTGCCGTTTATCAAACGTTTACCCGAGTAAGCATTTATCAAGTCATTTTATTTTACCGAATAAATATGGTAAGGACTAAAAATCTTACCCGTAAAAGCAAAAGCAAGAATTGAGAGTCTTACCCGGTAAGTGACGACGATGACTCTTACCATGGTTAGCGCATACCGGGATAAATTGTTGCATACGATGCATTTTAGTGAATAAAATCTATCCGATAAGTAAGCGATAGTGTTAAATTTTACCGATAAGTGCTTACCGGGTAAGTGTTTAGGTAAACGGCCCCTTAAGCTTGTAATTTTTTATAATGACCATTATTTGTGAATCCCAGTAAGACGTCGATTAAGTTCAATAACCTTGGATAAAGAAAACCACAAGGGTGGTGTCTAATTGGTTTGAGCTTGGACTCCAAATGTCAAAAATGTCGTGAGGTCCCAAGTTCAAATCCGATGAGGAATAAAAATCTCTTTTTGACGATGGAGGTTCAAATGCGATGACTCCGCATTATCCGCCAAACAGATGGTTGTTCTGAGATTAGTCGGCTCACATAACGAGTTGGATATCCAAATTAATCAAAAAAAGAAAAAACCAATTCTGATTAATACTAAAAAGCAAAAGTTTTAGATCAAAATTGATACATTATGCATCAAAAATTTAAAAGAAATGATATATTGTTTTAAAAATGAAAAAGGGAAAAAAAATCATAATTTTAATAAAAAATGATAGTTATTTAATTTTAGCATAATTTT